GAATGGACGTGGTATCGTTGTTGACACGTCACACATTACAATGACAGCTGATCCTGGAATTGGGATTGGTTGTAGTTGAAGTGACGAAGTTTCGTGTTGGAGATCCAGAAGCTCTTCATCTGTCTTCTGGGCTTCTGCCAACGCTGCGTAGTCGATGGTTGACTCCAATTCTTCAATCCTTGACAGGGCATCAGCGACGACGTTATCTGTACCTGAAACATGTCTAATATCAGTAGAAAATTGCCCAATGAACTCCAGGTGACGTTGCTGCCTGGGTGAACATTGAGTTGACCGCAATCTGAACGCGAACGTAATCGGTTTATGATCGGTATAAATTGCGAACTCTTGACCTTCTACCATGTGACGGAAATGTTTGACTGACAGGTAAATCGCCAGTAATTCTCGGTCGTACGCACTGTAGTTGACTTCGGCAGGACTGAGCTTCTTCGAGAAGAAGTTAAGTGGCTGCCACATGTTGTCGACCCACTGTTGTAGGACGGCTCCAACGGCGATGTCAGATGCGTCGGTGAATATTGCTAGCAGTGTGTCGGATTTCGGGTGAGATAATAGCGTCGCTTGGGCCAAGCTCTCCTTGCAGGCTTCAAATGCTTTGACAGCTTCTGGAGTCCATTTGACCGGCGCACGTCCCTTGATGTCACCCTTGAGCAGCTCGTTCAGCGGAGCTTGGATACCTGCAGCTTTAGGAATAAATCTGCGATAAAAATTAGCCATACCTAGAAATTGACGAAGTTGTTTGCCGGTGGTCGGTTTTGGAAACGACCGGATGACTTCGACTTTCTCGGGCAGTGGTTGTACTCCAGCTTCTGAGACGAGGTATCCGAGGAACTCGACTTCTGAAACTCCAAAGACGCATTTGCTAGGGTTAATAACGACGCCATATTCCTCGAGCTTCTTGAAGAGTATTCTGAGGTGTCTCTTGTGTTTTTCAGGTGATGTCGAGGCGATCAGGATGTCGTCGATGTAGGCGTAGCAAAAATCCAACCCGCGAAGTACTTCATCCATGAAGCGCTGGAACGTTTGTGCTGCGTTCCGTAGTCCAAAAGTCATGAATGGAAACTCGTACAGGCCGAACGGTATTGTGATGGCTGTCTTCTGAATATCCTCCGGTGCAACTGGAATTTGATTAAACGCTCGCACAAGATCAACTCTGGAGAAAACTTTCTTACCATGCAGCATGTACGAAAAATCGTGGATATGTCGAACCGCATACTTGTCCGCCTTGGTCCGGGTGTTGAGACCTCTGTAATCCCCGCAAGGACGCCATTCGTCGCCCTTTTTGGGAACCATGTGCAGCAGTGCCACCCAAAGACTCTTCGATGGTCGTGCGAGTCCCAGGCGTAGCATGGCTTCAAACTCCTTCTTGGCTGCTTTGAGCTTGTCGGGGGCTAATCTTCTTGGCTTCAATGCCACAGGTGGTCCTGGAGTCGTTTCAATATGATGTTGTGTCTGATGTCGCATTTCTCCTGGAGTTCCGCTGGGATGTGTGATCGACGGGAACTTTTCGAGCAGTTTGTGATACTCAGACGAGCCGGAAATGATCCTGATTCCTGGATCTCCGCATTGAACAATCTCTCCTTCTAGGTATAACTTGGTGGTCGTGTCTAACAACTTCCCGCGCTTGAGGTCGATAAGCAACCCGTAGTACGATAGGAAATCGGCGCCGATGATGAGTTTCGACATATCCGCGATCAGGAACCTCCACGTGAAATCCCGCTTCAGGCCCAGGTTCAGTGTAAGCGTCGCGACTCCATATGTAGATATGGGCGTACCATTAGCCGCGGAAAGTTCGTAGTTTGACTTTTTGCACGGTCCACGGTAATATTTTCGCGGAATTACACACAGATCCGCACCCGTGTCAATTAGAAAATGCATATTTGACTCACGGTCGCGGATGAACAGACGGCTAGATGTCTGCGGGCGAGTGTCGTCGGCCGTCATTAACGACTGCCCTGGGCATTTCCCGGGGTCCAGTTGCACGGTTGTGTACACTTATCTGCCTTCTCGTTGAAAATCCAATGGTACCAACAGATTCCTTGGGGACGAGGGCCGCGTGATCGTGCTCCTGATCCGGATTGGGACTGCGGCTTGCTACGGTGCGGTGTCGGTGATCTGCCGCGTCTGCCTTCTGACGGTGAGTGCATTTTCCGTTTGATCTCTGCCATCTCCAGCTGGAGGTTTTGGAGCGCAGTGGCGATCGACGTGTCCTGAGATGCTGCAGTTTCGAATACGGCTCGACGTGTCGGTAGCGTCTCATGTATGTTGTCCGCAACTTCAGCCATATTATCAAGTGACTGACCGCGCTGCGCTGCCATCGTCATCCGGTAACCATCTGGAAGACCTCGTAACCAGATCGACTGCAAAAGATGTTCCGGGATCTCACCTCCGATTTCTTGTAGCCGGCGTAGGTATTCTGATGGTTTCTCGTCGCCCATCTTCTCGCCTTCCAGAAGCCGATTCGTTTTCTCCGCCTGACTGATGCCGAGCCTCTTGATTAGCTGCGCTTTCAGTTCATCGTATAACGCGGGGGTTTGTTCTTTCATTACGACGTCGCGCACTTGTTTCGCGACTCGCGGAGGTAGCGCTGGCACAATGTGAGTCAAGCGATCTTGTTTGTCGGTTACGTTATATCGCTGGAAGAGCGATTCTACCATCACGAACCACATTTCTGGGTCCTCGGAGATAAATTCTGGTAACCGTGTCAGAGCTACGGTCCGACCAATGCGCGCCTCAGCCTCGGGAATTACACCACCGTTGCCGACCGGAGGGTTCACCATGATTTTAAAATTATTTGAAAATACGACGCGAACTACTCACACTAATAACCACACTTCACCAGAAGAAAAAATAAACTGCGCGATATAAATTTACTGTAAGTCGAAATTTAAAACACGCGAATTATTATTTAAACTAGGGGTCACCACTTTGGGAAGTAAGGGCTAGCGGGTGAGCGAATAGAAATATTTAAGTTTAATAAATTTTATTTAAATAAATCTAACTGTTAATACACGCGTGTAACTTAAAAATACGAGGTGAAGCTGATGGGTTTCCAGGACTAATTGATTTTCTCAAAGTGTCCACTTCTCATGTCACTACTCGTGACATTTATGTCATAGAGTTTTCGGCCCCGGCTGAATACAACATCTCAGCCAAAGAAGAGCACAAAAGACAAATATATCAGGATCTCCTGTTTGAAATTGGCAAACTTTACCCAGGTTACCGTGTCAAGCTTGTCGTCCTGATTGTTGGCGTCTTTGGAGGGATGAAACAGTCTTTTGTATCCTCACTTGCCAGAGTTCCAGCTTGCTCATCAAAAGCTGAGTTCTTGGCAGTCAGGATGCAGAAGGCTGTGATACTAGGTTCCCTCCGTCTACTTAGGGAAATGACTTTGGCCTGCTGTGATCACTAACCGCCTTGTTGTGCGGAGTGGTCCAGCAGTAATGGATGGAGCTCAGGCTGGGCCCTCGGAGAGTCGGACTCCGGGGACTACCCCCCTGAGCATTTAAAAACAAAAAAAAAAAAAAAAATTAATAATAATAATAATAATAATAATAATTCTAGGCTAGTTATTTTATTGCTCGTAAAGCATAGGACTATAAGACATGGGGCATTCCATGCCAAATCACCGAGTTTTTGGCTGAAAAGTTTTTATCATTTTCTACCCAACTAAAGACATTTTTTAGGATATTTGTAGATTTTTTTTCCTAACCCAAGAAAAGTTACGAATTTTTGAAAAAACCGCTCTTTTTTTTTTAAATGCTAGAACTTTTTCAAAAATCGACCAGTTGGGATCGGACTAAAAACGAAAATTTTCGTTTTTGGGTGTTTTTTAGAAAAAAATACGGAAAAATTTTCAGATGTCAGAATCTATGAAATATTTTAGTTTTTTCGAGAAAACCGTCATTTTTTCGAGGTCCGATACTTTCGATTTTTAATTTTTTTGTCTAAAAAAAACTTCAACTAATACTGCATATAACCCCGCCATTCCCGAGATATGTCCACTTTACCTTATATTTTTTTTTAATTGAAAAAAAAATTTTTGAAAATTTGTTTGTTTTGCATAAATTTGCACTGAAATTTTTTTGGGTTGCTCGTGAAATCTCTAAGATTAAATAAAATTGAAACGAGATAATCTTAAATTGTATTAATGAGAGTAAAATTATTTTATTTAAGTATAGTGATCTACATTGATCTATTAAGTTATTATCTATTGAGTTATTATGACGAACTAAGTAATCTTATGATACTAAGTACGTTCATCATAATAACTCGATTTTTTTAAAAATGTTGGTTAAGACGTTATTGCTTAATTCCATCCAAATCTAAGAGAATCGGGTGAAAAACTTGAGGATTTGGCATGGAATGCCCCATATGCTGACGTAAATTATTATGCCTGAAACACCTCCAAGTTGGAGTGTTTTGTGCCTCGATTTTTTGACCACATATATCACCGCATTTGTAATAAAAAATAGTATGTGCAACTTGTGCGACGTTGTTGCATTTGTTGCACAATATACTATTATCAGTGTACGCTTTAAAGAGAATACTTCGGGCGACAGTCGAAATAATACTTCGGAATATAATTTTGAAAAATTAAAAATTAGCAGAATTCTGAATTTTTAAAAATCGTCGAAATTGACGATCAAAATTAATTTTTGGCTAACTTTTTTATACTATTCCTTGTACTGACAAAAACACACACACACACACACACACACACACACACACACACACACACACAGTGACAACACCGCGGGGGCAGTCAGGGAAGCTTCCTGTGACCTTCAAACGTCGAGATCTGATGAAAACTCGATTTTTGCAAAACGGGGTGAAAACAATAACTTCCCGATTTTTGAAAATCTGAGATTTTTAGCGGGAAGTTAAAAATTATCAAAATTGATAAATTGAAGAAAATTTCAATTGTTTTTAAGAAATATAATTATAAATACTTTATAAGGAATAAAAAAAAATGAACCATTGAATCCTGTGCATAAAATGATTTTATTATAACTATAGAAAATCTCTCACTGTTCCTAATTGGAATTAATTGTGATTGACTTTTCTAAATGACTAGACTATTATTTTATCATTATTATTCTATAATTAAAAAAGCATTATGAGTCGTGTATTTTTCATTGTTTTTTCTTCAGAAACAGTTGTCTTTATTCTCATCAGATCCATCCCGACAATCTTGAATACCATTACAAACATCCTTCCGCGGAATACATTTACCTTCAGCGCATTGCATATCATTAACATCACATTGGGCACTTGGAAGTTTAATATGAATTTTATCTAAAAAAAATTTATTATTATTGGAGTAATTTTAATATCAACCAAGTGATATTACTTGATTATTGCCTTACTCATGATGTCACTAAAAAAATGAAATGCTATGTCAATCCCAATAAATGTATTCGAGTCCGTTATTTTACAAAAGATATCTTTTTCATGGAAAACGGCTGCTACATACCATCCTTTAGAATTATAACATGATACAAATCCGCTCCAATTTTCGGTAGAGTCATTGTCCTGATTTGAAAAAAATAATTAAAAAATTGAAAACGTTTTTCATTATATTAAAAAAAAAAATTTTTTTTTTAACGATGATCACCATAATAATATTGTTTTATACTTACAGAGCACCAATTTTCGATTGAGTTTTTGAAGCATATTAACCTATTTTTAGGACAACCAACTATATCGACAAATAATATTGTAGACTTCTTTTCCAATTTCTGATTGACTCCGGTTGCTTGGCAATAGCCTCTTTCAGAAAGATATGGTCTGAAAAAAATTCAGCCAATATTTTAATTAAATTAGCTGTAAGTATAAAGATATTTATTAAAATCTAACATAAAGCTTACTTAGCATGATTTACAAATATTGGTTTTATATAACGAGTTATAGGTAGTTTATTGAAGTGCAATAACGTGGTGTGAAGTTGACCGACATTTTCAATGTGATCGACTATTCGGATTTCTTCATGAGGACCGTTAACATGTTGGTAAGGTATTGATAAACCTGCTACAACAGCTGTGATATTATTTTTTAAGCTATATCAACATAAATAACAATAAAAATGTTTATTTTTAATTTTTTGACGTTCGAATTGATGTAATTAACAATGTTGAACTTACTTAATATCCTTGGTACAGCGTGTAGAAGTTAAAGCCCATGTAGTGTCTAATAACAAAACAGGACAATGGTATTTACCGTCGACAAAAATTGTTGCTTCCCATGGAAGCAAGTATGTTTCCTCATTAGTCCAGTTACTTTCATACAAATATTCACTTAAAGGATTCTTGAAACTCATCTGACACTCGATAAAAAGAGCAAAGCAGTCCCCAAAATGGCGACTTTGTAAAATAGATTTGATAACTTCATAGTGATTAAAAGTTATTGAACTATTTTTTGAACTTGTATATCCTTTCAATATTCTTGCATCAATATACAAAGGGCTGATAGATTTGTAATTGCTAATAAAAATTAAGATGAATTGTTGAAAGTAAGTTTTGAAGATAATTTAATAATAATTTTGTTACTCACCCGAAACCTAGGATGTTACAGTATTTGTTGGCTTCATCTGCTAATTTTATTGTGTTTCGAAAACACTTAATGGTCCAAGTATTGTTCCTATTTACTGACACAATTCCATTTATTTTCAATACTGTTGATCCTTCTATGTCTAATTCTATGTGGCTTCCGTTAGTTAATGCATCTAAAATCACAATATAAAATTGAAAATAAATTGTTCGTTATACTCGTAAGATTGAATTTAATGTAAAATAAAATGTGAATAATTTTATAAATTATTTTGGTTGTGTTTATTTATTTTCATTTTTTTTTCTACAATAACTTGTCTATCTTATTATAAATCGAAAAAAAAAAATTACGTTGATGAAGGTTTTCAATAATTATTAATAAAAATTGGATTATTGTTTATCATTGTAGAGTTTACCTGTATAAGTTTACCTGTATACATTAGGGTGAGCCAAAAAAACAAACCCATCAAATTTATGGGTTAAAATGAATCTATATATCGAAAAAAAAATTTCTCTGCAAGGCAGAATTTCTAGCTTAATTTTGAAAGATGTCGTTGAGCATTCAAAGTTCCCATTTAAATAATACGTAAAAAAATGTTTTTTCAATAAAAATAATATATAACTTTTGAACCGCTTGAGATAAAAATTTTTTGACAGCATATTCTTGAAGGGCATTAAATTTCCTACAAAATCTTGCCTGGTTCCATTTTTTAAAATCAAAAATTCATATATTTACTAGTCATGAAAATTAAACGAAAAATCAAAAGAAGCAATTTTAGGCATTTATTGTTAGAAATTTTTATATTTAAGGCAATAAATTACTTTAAAATGAAATAAGTAGGGAGGGGGGGGAGGTATACAAGTATTACTTATATAAAAGCGTGCTTTAAAGCTCCTTGTCCGATAAGCGCTCCAGCTCAAGACTTAGATTTCTTGGAAAAGTTAATTAATTATAAAAATATTAATAAAAAAATTTCGAATATTACTGTATCAACATTTTTGCGATATTTATGGTATCTGACAGAAAAACTTGCTGCTATGTCACTTTTCGATTCTAATATTAGTTTAGAAGTTAAAAAAAAATGGCAAACGCGATTAGAAAGGAAGAGAACAAAATTGATTAAAAAACAATAATATTATTAAAAAATCAACTTGACACGATTTGTTCCAAAAACATCAGTGATTTTATTACAAATTGTGTTCTTTTTTTTACGTGTTACTTAAATTTTTTTACGTGTTATTTAAATGGGAAACTTTGAATGCTCACCGACACCTTTCAAAATTAAGCTAAAAATTCTGCCTTGCAGGGAAATTTTTTTTTCGGTATAGATATAGGTTCATTTTAACCCATAAATCCGATAGGTTTGTTTTTTTTTGGCTTACCCTAGTATACATAATAAATGATAATATCGCATTATAAATATCTTCAAAACTTATTGAATTAATTAAATAATAAATATCACGGTCGTAAAAATAGATGCATTATCAAAACTATGAATTAATATTTAATAACTGAAAACTTTTTCTAAGTAATATAATTTTTTGGCTAATTCAAAATTGTAAATAAATTATTAAATGAATGATATCACTTACAGCAATCTATCTCGTCGTCACTTAACTGACAATCTCGTATTCCATTACATCTCTTCTCCGCAGGAATAATAACAGCACTTCGAGTACATAGATAAGTATTATTTTCATTACGTCTGTCATCTAAAAGTGAGAATAAACTTAAATATTTTACAAATTTAACGTAGGAAAAAAAAATTATTTCTTACGGCAATTGAGTTCGTCAGTTTTATCCGCACAATCGATACGTCCGTTACAAATCGATAGAGGATGTTTAATGTACAAAATATCAGTACACCTACAATTAAGTTCATCTGATCCATCTTCACAATCGATTTTCTTGTCACATCTTAAAGATCTTGGAATAGTTTGTGTTACACTGAAAACCAAAACCAAATAAGTAATTCTTCTTTAATTTTTCTAATCTCAAAAACTCACTCTGTGCAAATAAAATGATCAACATTTTCTTCTGAATTCCATTTTATCATCGAATATTTATTATCTCGATTAACAAGTTCATCGGGTAAATTTCTAGAACAGTTTTCGAATTCATCTATTCCTGTCCAGCAATTAATATAATTATTACACTGTGCATCCGAATTATAACAAATACTATCTTCTCCATAGCACTCATACCCAGGACAATGCTCCAAAAGTTTAAATCCAAAGGATCTGGAATCAAGATCTAGAAAATTCAATTTAGATAGTAAATGAAAAAATATAATTACTTCTTAAAATATTCTAAGCAAATCAAAATTAAAACTTACTCATAGTTTTTTTGATCCATGGATAATGAAAGCTTACTCTAGCGTAAACTCCAGCTGCGTCAAAATGTCCACAAGGATTATTGTTTTCTTCACGGTTAACAATTCCTGCAATGTACAGACGATTGGAATTAGGAATTTGGCACATCAGAGGACCCCCACTGTCACCCTTACAGGCGTCCTTTTCTCTTTCATAAGTGCAAATGGTGCTATCGTTACATTTATCGAAAATCGGCAATTCTACCTCCCGTAATTCTTCTTCTTCTGCAATAATAAATAGAGTCAATTCATGAACCAAGATTATTTACTTTTGCAGAGTGGAAAAAAAAATTAATAGATAAGTTATGAACACTTACCACGTTCTCCGTTTTGTATCGAAATGCCCCATCCGATGACGGTACAAATTTCATGAACTGCTGGAATAGTTCCCCATGTAGGTAAAGGAAGGCAAAGGTTGCGAACGTACCTATTAAATTTCAGGGGTTCGTCCAATTTCATTAATGCAATATCATTGGCACCAGTCAAAGGGTTAAAATTTGGGTGACGAATTACAAACTCCACTCGACGCGTTTGAGTCATTGGCGACCATGTATGATGCCTGATGAGTCCCGCATAAATCCTGTAGTAATTTTTTGGATGGCTGCAAAAAACAGTGAGTATTATGATAATTTAATCAAACTATTTTTTACTTTAACGTATGGCTTAAATTCACATACAGTTGACTCTGTCTAAAGGTTCCGTGGACACGCTCGTTAAAGGTTCCAGGATATCCCCCTACTCTTTAGTACAGTAACCAATCAGTAGTTAATAATTTAAGCGCGCGTTTTGAATGCCCATAAAGACTAATGTTTTCTGTTGCGCACCCATTACGCCTAATGTTGAGAGAGGTGAGAGAACCTTTAGGCCATGGTCCTGTCTAATGTTGCAACAATCGAACAAAAAAATCGATCGTTGAAAATCGATTATGATCGCATAAACAACATCGATTTGGTCGATTAATCGTTTGCAAACAATTGATTTTTTCCATAGTCGATTTAATCGACTTAAAAAAACGATTGTTATTGTAACAACTTTAAAGTTGCAACATCGCCTGAGTAACAATCGATGAATAATCGATTGTAAAAATCAAATTTTTCATTTCCACTATGTAAATCGGAAGAAAATTCATCAAGAAATTTAACGGTTCCTAATTACAATCATGGAGTTTCTGAAGGTGTCCGATCAGCTTGCATTCAAGAATTAAAAAAAAAAATCACTATATTATCACTTATCACTAAAAAAATTACTATATTTTTCGATTATTCGATGTCTTCAATTATAATGTTGCAACATCGGCCGAGTACCAATCATAAAAATGATTATAAAAAAATAGAAAGATTTTGTTTTCTGTAAGTAAGTTAACAAAGTTGACTTACATTCTTCATAAATTTATCTGATTATATAAACATTAATATTATTCCAATATCAATTTATAAACAAAAATTTTATTTTCTCGAAAATCGATTGTGAACATTCGTTTTTTAAAAAATTTATTCGATTAATCGAAAAGCCTACAATCGATTATAAAAAAGCGATTTCAGAGATTAAAAAAATCGATTAATCGGTTGTCACTTTGCAACACTAGTCCTGTCCCGACCTGGAACCTTTAGACAGAGTCGACTGTACCTACATGCCTCATAATGCTCTATTATTGCAACAGTATAAGAAAAAAACAGTATTTCTCTTTCAATTACTATTTTTTGTAATTATTTTTTTTTCATTTATTGATCAAATGGACAGGCAAATTTTCAGTTTTTAAATCGATTTTTTTTAACTTGTACCTATCTACGCAGTGAGCAGCTGTTAGAATCCATTTCTCATCTATAATGGTCCCACTGCAATTTATGAATAAACGATAGTATGAATGGATGGCGACAATATAAGGCCAAGCGTGCGGCTTGCTCTTTTTTCCACCAAAAATCCTACTGGCCACGAGAATTTCGGATGTCGAAGCTTCTGGAGCAGTTGATCCACAAGGAATTACCGGACATTTAACAAAAACTGCTTGACCGCCACAGTCTTGCTGTATTTGAATTTTTCCTGTTTTAGTTTGCGAAATAAATAGCCCTAGTCCGCGTCGTACTGGTACCATTTTGATTGTTGGTTGGCTTGTTAGTCGTCCGACTTCACTACTACAAGCTGAGTGAGCCCACATATTAACGGCCTTAATCCAAGACGATGAGCAAACCGGATACCATTTTCCGTACCAATTTTTGAATAAATATCCTGAAGAGTATCCGACGGACACTATCTATAATATATCAAAAATACACTTAGGTGAGAGTGCTGGGGCACGACACCCCCTCCTCCCTCAATAAAGCATACAGAAATATTGTAACTTCTCGTTGAGAAAATCGAAGATTTTTGAAAATCGGAAAGATTGGTTGTACCCCGTTTTGCAAAAATTGAGTTTTCATCAGATTTTAACATTTTAAGGTTACACACGAAGCTTCCCTGACTATCCCCGCGATGTTGTCACTACACAGTAAAAAAATTTTCGTCTAATTTGACACAAATATTTGTGTTACTGACTGTTTTTATACAAACTAATGTTAATTCCACATTCTAGTGTGTTAAATCAACACATGAGAATGTGAAATTCTACACTTTAGAGTGTAATATTCTACACAAAAATTTTTACACTTTACACAATGACGAAAATTCTTTACTGTGTATGCCTGTGTGTGTGTAAACCGCTTATAACTTTTGAGCGACTAAACCGATCGGATTTTACCAAACAGTGTTCCAAAGAGTTTTCTCAAACTTATTTTTGGTATTTTGAAGTCAAATGTTTATTCGAAAAACCCCATAAGTCACTGGATTAAGGTTTTTCAATTAAACGAGATTTGTATCGACCGATTGGTTAGGTCTTCAAAGAACCGAAAAATGCAATAAACCCGATTTCGAAAGAAATATGACTTATGGGGTTTCTTAAATAAACGATTCTTATAGGGTCATGGATACAGTGTAAAGATTGAAAAAAATAGTCTCATGATTCTTGCGCAGGTATTGACAAAGATTATTCCGAAGAATATATCTGTAATCATTGCGAGTAATTAAATACAAACGTTCTGATTAGCAAATGGCCTAACTCTATTTTAGAGAATCTTCCATTTGTACGAAAAAAAATTTAGTTCAAAATTTATTACCACTTAAAAAAACAATTTAATACCTATAATAGAGGTACAATATTTTGGTCTGGATCATTTAAATAATTTATAATTAGACGATTGCTATATTAAAATGTTAAAAAATTGACTAAAATGTTAAAAAATTTATTATAATTACATATTATTACATAAATTTATAGAAATTCACATCGCGTTTCAGATGCCATAAGGGCTTATACCGGCAAAAGGTCCTGGTGAAAAGCCATAAGGGCATATAAAAAATTTTTTTTCGGGAATCGATGTATTTTCGTCCGAAATGTGCAAAAATGTAAAAAAAAATTTTATACGCCCTTATGGCTCCCGGGATCCACTTCGGATGCCATAAGGGCGTATAAAAAAATTTCTATTTTTTTTTTCCAAGTCCAAGAAAATTTTTAGTTAGACGAAAATTTTTTGTTTGCATTTCTGCACGTTTCAGACAAAAATGAGTTGATTCCAAAAAAAAAATTTTTTTGATACGCCCTTATGGCATCCGAGGTGGGTCCTGGGAGCCATAAGGGCGTATAAACTTTTTTTTGATTTTTGTACATTTCGGACAAAACTACGTTGATTCCCGAAAAAAAAAATTTTTTTATACGCCTTTATGGCTCCCGGGTCCCACCTCGGATGCCTTAAAGGCATATAAAAAAAATTCTGTTATTTTTTCTAAGTCCAAGAAAATTTTTAGTAAGGCGAAAATTTTTTTTTTGCATTTCTGCATGTTTCATACAAAAATACGTTGATTCCCATATGTCATATGTTGGCCTAAAATATCATAAAAACATCATAGAGGTCATAACTTGACGGAAAATGAAAAAAAATAAATTTTCCTAATTTTTGAGAGGGGCCGACGTGCCCCAATCTTCCTTAGCGAAATAATTAAAATTATATCACAATTGAGATAGTTTAATCGGAAAGTACTTACATCGGCATTGTTCACATATGATTCTCTCAATAGATGACAGTCTTTTTCATCTCGTCCGTTCTCACAGTTCCATATGCCGTCGCATCTCTGTGATAATGAGACACATTGCTGTTTAGAAAGATCATCAGTTCCCTCGAAACAGCTAAATGAATCCTGATCGCATCCTACCAAAATAATATTGACTTATACATACAGAGAAATTTATTTTATTAATTTCTATTGCTGAATACACTGGAAAAAAATTTAGACTCAGTTTAGTGTAAATGACTCGGTGTCAAAATTGTGGTGTTAATTACCTCTAATTCTGTGTAAAATTTAGGTAGTGTGGATTTAAAATTTTTACATCGTTCAAACTTGTAAAAGATTAATTCATGATAACTTTGCGTTAAGAAATTAAATAAATCTATTCTATTATTATATTAATGGCAACGTTACAAATCTATTCGAAATACCTCTATTTACAGCTAGTAGTGTCATCTCTATATAATCAGTAATATTTTTATTCAGTTATTTTTAAATTCAAATAAAACTTTATTCAGTTTCATTTTTACTTAATTTAAAATTTATTCGGGTTTAACTTTACTTCGATATATTTTAAATCAGATTAATCTCTACACAATTTCAATTTTACTTCGCTTTAACTTTATTCACTTTTACATTTTATATCAGTTAAATTGAAAACATCTTAGAACTAATTTTGTTCAAAACGTTTTCTTGTAAAGTGAAAAAATTTTCGAATATTTATCAAATAATTTTAAAGATTATATGAGATTGTATTGATCAATGTATAAATTTTGAGTGACTGCTTAGAAACGACAGTCTTTTTGTTTCTTTTTTTTTTTTTATTGTTTCTTACTTCTTAAATTTCTTTGTCTACTTTGTCGTACAAGACGATGAATTATTAAAAAAATTTTTAATTTTTCAACTCATTATTTTTAAACTTTCCTTAAAGTAAAGAACAACATATCAAAAAACTTACCAAAACACCCTATTTCGTCTTCGCCATTCGGACAGTCGTGAACACCGTCGCAGTGATATTGAACAGAAATTCGATCCTTGCACGTACAATATAATTCATCACTAGAGTCTGGACAATCAAACCATTTATCACACCAATACGCACTTTCAATGCATGTGCTATTATCATAACATTTTAACTTATTGGGTGGACATTCCTCTGTTTCTAAATAAAACAAAATCACGCATGAGCATCAAAAAATAATAAGATTGAAGATAAATTATATAAATTTAATTGATGACGATTGCCACACAATAAATAATTATGTGATAAAAATTTTTCTGTAACACATTTAATACTTTTACATGTAAATTAAAAATTTTTTTTTGTGTTAATACTCTTAAATTAACTCAAAAAAGCGATAAATATTTGATATATTTTCTTTTTGACATTATATAAAATAAAAGAATTTATTGAATCGATAAATATTCCTTACCGCCAGAGGATTTGTATTCCGAAAATACAAGTAATATCAAAACTAATACTACCAGTATATTCATTATTGAGGCGAGAACTTTTATTGTCACTACAAGTTGTCGTTACTGTGGAATCTCGAGAGGTATAATGAAATCAAAATATTAATAAAATTAGTTCAGTCTTAGCAAAGACTAATGAAACGTCAGCAAATTTTTTAAAAGAGTGGAATAAAAGTTATTTTGTTAATTTTTTTTTTGTATCTATGTATTCATATAAATGGTATCTGCAAACGTAGATATTTTGCAATGAGCGGTGAATGTCGAAAAACAACTCGAAGAGTAGGTACACGTTTATTCTTCAACAATCTTTTTAGCTGATTTATCGACTTTTTTAATAATTATACTTTATGTTTAAATGTTACGAATTACAAAATATTTTGCAAAGGAATTAAAGTTTTAACTTTTTACTTTGAAAATGATTTACAAAGAATCGGAAATTTATTAGTTTTATTAAGGTTTTCGAAAATCGAGTTCTTGTCAGATTTCTACGTTTTGAGGTCTAAAAAAGCTATAGCTTATTATTCCTGCGATGACGGCAGTATATCTGTATGTATGTGTGCAAATGAATGTGTAGACCTCTTATAACTTTTGAGCGGCTAAATCGTTTTAAATTAAACAATATTGGCATCATTCGATAGGCTTCAATGTATCTTGGACTTCTTTGTAAGATTGAACCGATTCGATATAAACAGTGTCGAAAATATAATGCACAAGAAATGTTTTGTCTGATATCAAAAATTTATTATAGTTAATATTATTGTCCATAATTGTATTAAATAAATTGTTTATCTCAGGAATGTGGACAAGATAGAATCATCATAATAAATTACATTATTATTTCTGCCGAAACGACCGAAACGTCGCAGAAATAATAATGTAATTTATTATGATGATCCTATCTTGTCCACATTCCTGAGATAAACAATTTATTCAAAAATTTATTTTTGAATATGAGAATGTATTTTTTTTCCATAAGCGCAATACTAATTTTTTAATTATCTACACAATTGAAGTTTCCCTCGTGGTTTTGAAAATGCCACAAAGACTTGATATTTATGTGATATAAATGCTGTATATTTACAAAAATACTTCACTTATTTTAGCCAGTTTTTTTTCCGCATTATTACACAAAAATTAGGAAAACAGTTGTAAGCTATTGACATTATAGCTACAAAATGGAGACTTCCTTTTTTTCACTTCGTTTTTTGTTTATAACAAATGAAATTTTAAATGGTGGATAAATTAAAAAATACCTCTTTCTCAGAATTAAATTCTGAATCTAATGTATCAATCGCCATATTTTTAAGACCACTGTAACGATTTTTCGCAGAAAACTCACTTCTCGACTAGACTAATTGGAATAATATCAATTCTTTTCTCTCCGTGTACGCTTTGTTTCCAATAATTCTTTGAATAGAATGAAAAAGGTGCGAATCAATGAATTAATTGCTTATGTATCTTATATATATGTATATATTAGCGTTCAGCTGACCGGTCGCAACTTCAGTTACATATAAAAATGAAAACCTTGTAATCTTTACATTTTTCATGATATGACAAATACAGCAATGAACAAAGATAATAAATTAAAAAAAAAAATTTTTAAACGTATCAGTACAAACCCGGCAAAATTACAGAATAGTGTCAGTATTTTTACCGTAGAAATACGATTTTATTGTTGTATAATTATGGTATTTCATAAACCGTGAGGACACTATTATTATTATTATTTTAAAAAATTTCACTTAAACGTTTTAAACTCGGTTTCAATCAAGAAAAGCTGACGAGATAAAAATAACATTAAACCCTAGCTTGTCTTGTATTCTTCTAGTTTTAGGCGAGTGAGGTTGAGTAGGGTTTTTTTATTGAGTTAGAAAATGTTTGCATCAAAGGATTCAGGCGCTACAAAGTTCAACTAGGGTTTTTAAATTTCCACTCAGGGAAACTAATAACATCTCTGTTGTGTTTTTGTTGAATTTGAAATATTATTTAAAATTTTATTACAATTATTACAGTTTATTACCGAGCAACATGTAATTGTGTAAAAGAATATATTCACAGCGAATAAAAACACGTATTTGGAATGTTTTTATGTTAGTACTACTTGTCAACAAATATTAATTACAAATAAATATCATTTTTTTTTTTGCCGTGAATAAAATTTTATTAGTATTTAATAAAATTTTATTAGATACTAATATGTGTTTATTAAAACCATCGCCAGTCTCGCTTTAACGGCAGCCATCTTTAATGCTAAAGTCAAGGCGTAAAATTTGGAGTTATTGTTTATTAATAGTGAATAAAAATTAAAATAATTATTAAACAGTGAAGAGTGTCTATTAACCAATGGATGTTTTATTAAAAGAAAGGGATTTAGATGCATTGTGGCCAATTTTTCAACGCAAATAAAAATTAATAGTATATTACATACCTAGGCCAGTAAAATAAGAAAAGTCTCAGATCACATGTAATTGTTGGCCGAGGCGAAGCCGAGGTTGACAAACATGTGATCTGAGGCTTTACTTTTTACTGGCCAAGGTGTGTATACTATTTTTCTGCCCAGACTTTTCTTATTTTACTGGCCTAGGTATGTAATATACTATTAATATGGTGAAAAAGTACAATAAACTATTTTTTAGAAATGATTTATAAGTATTACAAATAAAAATTTTGCTAAAAGTTATTTTCTTTTGTTCTTGAAAATATTTTTTCAAATTTTCATCTTTATTAGAATTTTTTAAATTTATATATTAAATTTTTTTTTTTTATAAAGCCTAAGTTCGAAAGAGTTTTAAATTTTAAAATTGAACACGTCTTTGCTTTCAAGTAGACAATTTCAAAAAATCTCTTTATGCGCATTCATTTAAAATCCATAAATACATGTATCTACTTTGAGGGCCTATAACTTTTAAACCGTTGAAGTTATGAAAATTTTATATCAAATCAATTTTGTAGAGAATTTAATTTCCTACAAGAAACATTTATCATAGAATTTTTACTATTTTTTTTCCACGAGAAATAATTGTTCTTTTAAACAAAAATTTGTTTTCCATGTTATTTACATGGAAAAGGGGACTCGCCTTTGAGGCTAATCTATAATTGGAATTAAAAATTTTTTTCAGGCGGGAAAAATTTTTTCTTACCCTAAAGAAACTTTTAAGACGTCAAGCAGAAAAAAATTTTTTTAAAAAATCACCCTAATATATAATATATATTAAGATTTTTCAATGAGACATCCTAACGTAACCTATTTGTTTACTCCCGACTTATATGTTGTCTTTATGACAGACATCTTTTATATACTAAGAAAAATTTATTAGTATTTAATTATATAAAATTTCATTACCATTAAATAAAATAGTCTCTCAGTGTATCCATGGTTGAACAATTTAGATTGGTTTTAACACGAATAAGTGAATGTCAAAACACTATTAGTTTTAGGTTAGAAAGATCTTAAAAATGATAAAACAATGAATTATTTGTCTTACCTTCAAAGAGAGTCACAAGTAACTCGAATTTCCAATCTGTCAATTTTCTTCTGACAAATGGATCCATATTCAATAAATTTTATTAAAATATCCCGGGAAAAAATGATCAGATCTGATTAGATATGAACAGGCATGAGTCTTCAGGTCTGATCAGATCTGAAAAATGACCGGGTCTGATCAGACCTGGCCAGGCATGTTCATGTCTGATCAGACCTGTTCATGCCTGACTCGATCAGGTCCATAAAAAAAAAAAAATCGGTGCCAACGGGAATTCGAACCATGTACATTGCGCTTTCTAGACTGACACTTTACCTGTTGACCCAATGACTTATCGTAACACTGCTGTATCTTTCAAACTACTTAAAGTAATTTAAATTTTATACATGACTTATCCTTATAGTTAACAAAGTTCTATACTTAATTTATTAATTATTAATAATTAATTATACACAGTAAAAAATTTCGCGTCATTGCGTCAAAAAAATTTTGTGTTAAAAATTTTTATGTTAAATATTTAACACTTTTTTGTATTAATTTAACAAAATAAATGTTAAATTTACACATAAAAGTGTTAAATATTTAACACAAAAATTTTTAACACTAAGATTTTTGACGCAATGACGCAAAATTTTTTACTGTGTATATTAGAGTGATTTATTTGGAACGGCTATATATTTTATTCGCTCCATTAACATATGGTTCAATGTAAAGTAAAAAAAACAATTTCTTCAAGGTTTACTCCGTAATTATAATTTTATTGTTTTCTTTAAAAATTGAAGTTTTTTTAAAAAATTGAACTTTTACTAAATAATCTTATTTTTCGCGTATTCAATGGAACACAGTAAAAAATTTAATGCCATTGCGTCAAAATTCATCGTTAAAAATCATCCTTTTGGCATGGAAAATTAAAAAGTTCATGCTTATATAAGCCGAAATTTTTAATGAAAGTTGAACATTTAAAATTTATAAGGGGATAGAAACTGATACGTCATACGGAACAAATTAATTTTAAAAATAGAACTGCAGTCCATAGTTCTATAAAATTTTTCTTCCAGACTTAAAATATCATTTAAGAGGGCAAATCATGCATGAACAGTTCTTGTCAGCTAATATATGGAGTTTTAATCCTTTTCTATTAAGCTAGACTGCTACGCACGATACGAGATCGCTACCATCACGATCTACACTTTACCATCTAGAGGAGAGTGAGGTTAGGAAAACGGTATACTACGGTAGCTATACGTTTCGTGAATGGCACCGAATAGATCGTGATGGTTACGATTCAGACTGCTACTCGTAGCTGTACGGATTGTACCCGTAACGATACACCTTTTACCATACAGTAGATGGCGCCGAGCAGAAAACTTTTTTTTCAGTGTATTATTTATAATAAGGAGTAGGTTTGCGAACAACTCCCCAGAATGAAATTAAACCTGAAGGTTTATGTCTAATGAATAATAAAAACGGACGGTTACACTTAAACTTAATTGGTACCCATTGCAAGGAAAGGTAGTTTATAATCACGTAAGAAACTGCAGCAGCTTCAGTGCTTCTTTCAGTGATGTCTATTTCAACTTTATGATCTGCACGGGACACATACAAGCCAGGATTATCAAAGTTTCTGCTTTCACGCAGTTCATCCAAACCATAAGAAGGAAAATTTTTAGTTTTTACATATTGTTGAAAGTTTGCGGGAATTGAACGATCCTCTTCATTATTAAAATTTTCAGTTCTTATTTTCGAAACATTTAGAAGTTCGTCTTTAAACGATTGTGATTGACCAGTTGACATCAACCCTAGATTAGCTACTTTTGGAATAAACATTGAAGTAAACCCGAGTGACTGTAAAGTATCACGCAAATTAAGTGTACTCGATAGTTTCATTTTCGGTAATTCTACCGTAACATCATAAAATGGTATCATATAACTTAGATATAAATTGATGTCACGTTTGGTAAAACTTGATAAAATGTCGCTCAGAGGAACATCCTGATGTGGCAATACGATGAACATTGTTACCTCGGACATTGATCCATTAACATTGTTAATCTGCAAAATCGAAATTTATGTTAGCAAAAATAAATCGAAAATAAAAAATAAATCTACTCACTTTATAAGGTAAACCGACTATATCAGCTCCTAATCTTGGATTGTCATTATAATCAGTCATGCGAATTCTACTGTGTGGGAAATTGCCATATAAAAATTCACGCCTGATTTTCATCATGTCAACTTCAACGGTTTCTCCTGACTCGAGATAAAATGGTTCTCTACAGCAAAAAAATAATAAATGAAACATCAGACAGTGAAAAATTAATGAAGTTGTTAACTTTCCGCTAATAAAATCGAAGATTTTCTAAAATCGGGAAGTTATTGTTTTACCCCGTTTCGCAATAATCGAGTTTTCATCAGATCTCGACATTTTAAGGTCCCAGGAAGGTTCCCTAACTACTCCTGAGAAGTTGTCACTATGTCTGTATGTATGTATGTGTAAGTGTGTAAGTAGGTAAGTATATAAACCTCTTATAACTTTTGAACGGTTCGACCGATTTCATCGCGGTTGGTGCCATTCGAAAGAGCATGGCTAAACTTAGATTTTGAATACCCAATTCGGACCGACAGATTTTGAGAAATCTCAAAAAAACTATGGAAAAAAATTTTTTTTTTAAGTGGTTTTTTTTTAAATAACTTTTAAACGACTCTATCGATCAACTCCGAAAACTAATCAGCCCTTGACCTTAAAAAACCACGTCGATCGCCGCTAATCTGGTCAAAATCGGTTGATTTGTTCGAGAGATATCGTGTAGGAAAGAATACCGAAAAACGTGTTTTTTCGAAATTATTCCGAAATTTCTAGTTCGATCGATTCAAAGATTCTTTATGAGGCTTAAAAAACTGCGTCGAATACCGCTAACTGTCTGAAAATCGGTTCATTCATTCAAAATTTATTGCGGTTTGAAAATTCAAAAAATAGTGTTTTATCAAATTTACATCCGACTTTTGAGCTCGAAGAGATCAATGGCATAGAAACGCTATCTCTAAAACTACACATAAATTATATTTTTGAGCTCGAAGAGCTCAAAAACATCGTAAGTGCAATTTTAAGCATCTTGGTATGGAATTAGCGGAAAGTTGCAGGTATGGCCTTCAGAGTCTACCGTTTCCTTAATTTTTTGGAACGTCATTGATAGATTTTAATAATGTACATACCTTTCAGTTTTATTTTCCGAAAACGGGTACTTCCATTGGCCTTTGAAGTGTAATGTAGATGCAATAAAGATTTCTGTCAAATCACTAGGTGGTTCTTGCAAAAAATTATTTATTTTACCACGTGACGCTGACTTGATCCAATTATTGATGTCTTTTGTTATGGAAGGAACATGAAAATCAACTTGGGTGATGTCATAATTGTAAACATCACGAACAAAAGCGGCATAATTTGGTCGAATCGAGTATCCGTTTTGCACGAAGATTCTGTTAGCAGACACTAGTTCTGGAGTTTCCCCGCGGTTTTCTTTACTTACCAATTGTATTGAATTTATGAGATTCCCAAACATATGATGTAAAAACTCTGAATCTTTCGATATAACTTTATCCTTATCGAAACCAAGAGAGCAAAATGTTTCATTACTTTTACCCTCAGAACCAAGAAGCATAACTGCCAGCAGTTCTACTACATTCAATGGTGAGAATACAACGTTTTTATTATCGTCTTTTATTCTATTAGCATCAATAGCTTGGTTCAGAGCGACCGCAAATTTTTCCACCCCCCTTGATAGATGTCCGTTTATCTAAAAGAAATAATTCTTTGTACTCTCAATTTTATTCAATTTATCCAAAAATATTTTTCTTTTTCCCTTAACAGCCTAACTACAGAACTTAAAAGTAATTATATTAATTACTGTGAGTAATTATATTAGTAATTATATATTAATGAACTTACGTGATCATTCCAAAACTGAATAGATTGTCGTTGTTGCGAGTTTATGGATACTGTGCATAACAATAAAATCAACACTAAATTTATTTTCATCATTTCTGAAAATTGAAAACAAAAAAATTAAAAATTTTTTTTGAAATTAAAAATTTTAAAAGTTTATTTCATGATAGTTAAGTACATGGTAAAAAAATCAATTATTCTTGAGTAAGACTGTTTCAAATAATAATCCTAAGATTCCTTTGATCAGCTTTTAGCAAATTATAATTTTTCTATTGCAATTTGCACTATAGTCTCATTTCAGGACGCATGTTTTATTTTTTTTTATATAGCAAGTTGAAACCATGTATTTAGTGTAGTGCACATGTAAATACATAAAAATGAGAAAGAGTGATAAAGGAGAGAAAGCGAGAGAAAGAGAGAGGGGGTAAATGTGTACTCCGTGTGACTATTCCTCTACATTCGTTTACTGTATTATAGCTTGTTGACAAGCATATGTCTGTGCATAAGAGTTAAATGATTTATCTAATTTACATTACTTATGTAATATTTTATCGTATTTTTTTGAAGCTTAACTATACGATAGCTGATATTTTTTATGATAAAATGGAACCTATACGGAAAACAAAATGCTGTAAGGACATCATCACATTGAATCTACAGCACGTTAGAATTACTTCTTTCCGCTATTTTTAAGGGGCAATACTGTTTGATCATTTATACTGGAATATATCTTAGAAATAGCTGTAATTCTTAGAATAAATTAATGCATACGTGCAAAATAATAATTAATAATATTTCACTATATCATACCTGAGAATTCGATTTTTCTTATTTAACTTTTCTTGTTACAATTACAATTATGTATTTTATTTATACTATCGCGATTTTGTTTTCGGGTAATTTTGAATTTAAAATTTTGTACTAGCGCTTACGTATTTTGTAATTATTTTTTCTACGATGTGTTCACTACCATTGTCGGAGGTTGAAGAGAGAGCTCACTCTAATGGCTGCCTAACCTTTTTTCGGGAGAGAACTATTGGCCAGGTGCACGATGGTGCTGCCCTCATTTTTCATGCTTTTTCTGTGTTAAATCAAACGGAGTAATTTAGTTCTAGTGGTCGCCATTAGCGTTAAATCATGCTCTTCTCATAAGATTTACACGTAAAAGTGGTAGTCAGCGCCAGCCCTCCCCACCATATACTTCGCACCCTGCCAATACCCAAATATTTTCTCGAATTTTTTCGGTCTTACCCTTAACTTCAAATGTGTCGAAAAAGTGCCACGAAAACTTTCTAGGCTAGTTATTTTATTGCTCGTAAAGCATAGGACTATAAGACATGGGGCATTCCATGCCAAATCACCGAGTTTTTGACTTGAGCCTTTTAGATTTGGCTGAAAAGTTTTTATCATTTTCTACTTAACTAAAGACATTTTTCAGGATATTTGGAGATTTTTTTTCCTAACCCAAGAAGAGTTACGAATTTTTGAAAAATCCACTCTTTTTTTTTTATAAATGCTAGAACTTTTTCAAAAATCGACCAGTTAGGACCGGACTAAAAACGAAAATTTTCGTTTTTAGGTGTATTTTTTAGAAAAAAATGCGGTAAAATTTTCAGATGTCAGAATCTATGAAATATTTTAGTTTTCTCAAGAAAACCGTCATTTTTTCGAGGTCCGATACTTTCGATTTTCAATTTTTTTATCTAAAAAAAATTTCAACTGATACTGCATATAACCTCGCCATTCCCGAGATTTGTCCACTTTACCTTATATTTTTTTTTCGACTGAAAAAAAAAATTTTTGAAAATTTCTTTGTTTACATAAAGTTGAATTGAAAAAAAAAAAATAAAATTAGGACTTTTTTGTTCTGAAGTTTGTCAAAAATGCAATTTTCAAAATTTTTTTTTTTGATCACTATAACTTTAATTCTATTGAATATTTTTAGCTAAAAATTTAACTGTATACTCTTGAAATATTATTACAAACAAAAAAAATCTTGTTTGGTTTGATATTTTTTTTGATTGCTAAAAATATTTTTTACTCTAAAATTTTTTATTTTTTACAAACATTTTCTTTTTTTTTTGCTATAGTACATTCGGAAATTTAAATTATTGCATATTTCATTTTACTATGGTACATTTCAATTTCTACCGTTTGCTATGTCTGATTTCATTTGTTTCGGAAATTGGGCCATGGTACCCATCAATGTACCAAAATTTCTTTGTTTTACATAAAATTGAACTTTTTTTTGGGTTGCGCGCTCGTGAAACCTCGGAGATAAAATAAAATTTAACCGAAATAATCATAAATTGTATTAGTGAGGGTAAAAAATTATTTTATTGAAGTATAGTGTTCTACATTGTATAAAATCTTAATATTGTAATTATTTTTCTCGACTCTCAGTAATTATTTTCTCGGTTATTCTTAATCGTACTATATTTTTTGGACTTTTGTGATGACGAAAAAGACTTCGACTTTGATAAAAAATTCGTTTGTTAAGATTTTAAACTCAATTTTATTTAACCTCGGAGGTTTCACGAGCAACCCAAAAAAATTTGAGTGTAAATTTATTTAAAACTGAAAAATTTTCAAAAAATTTTTTTTTTCATTCGAAAAACAAAATATAAGGTAAAATTTCAAACAAACGAAACATCATTCCTGTATCTAGAATAGCATTCGAGATATTGCAAAAACAAAATTGAAAAACTGGAAAAATCGCGAAATTTTGAATTTGCATATCTTTTGAAAAAAAATTTTTTATTTTTTTTCCTTCGGCAGAACTTCTTTTATATATGATAAAAGAAAACCTCTGACCAAAATTCATCCAAATCGAAAGATGTCGATTTGCCATGGAATTACCCACGTTTCTTTTCAAATACCGTAAATTGCAAAATTTTTCGAAATCGGAGAACCCGGCCCCCCACAAACTATAACTTTATTTAACAAGAATTGTTTCACGATTCGCAAATCCAGTAACATTTCTAGGAGAAATGGTGCAAGCCGCGGAGTATTTTTTTTTCACAATAAATTTTGAATCTATTAAAATGTTAATTATTTACAATCATACTTGAAGTCAATAAATAGTATTTTAGCTTTTGTCTCATTCTATTATTGATGCGTTTTTCATACTGAAAATTATCTTGATTCAAGAAGGAAATTCTTCATCCATGGAAATCTTTTTAAAGCTTCATATTCTTGATATGATTAGAAAAATTCGTGAGACGGATAATTTTTACTTAAAACAATTTTACTTGATTCACGAATTTTCTGTCTCAATTTATTATAGAAAAACTCTTAAAAATGATTTTCTTATTTCAAGATTTCCGTCTGGAATTAAGTTTTTTTTTTTTTTTTTTTTTTCACCGCGTCGGTATCCTCGCTTACGGAGAATCTAGCAGCAATAACGGTGTGGTATAAAGAGCATGTAAATCAGAATTATATTAATTATTGTCGCCGCGTTTATTAGCGAAGCACGATATTCGTAATAAGAGCAATGCACTGATCTTTAATGTGCTAAACACGAACTTGAAGATTTCCACTGGTTCAAACAGATCTGAAAATTCGTTGATTAAGCACTTGTGATCTCATAAAAGCGAGGGAAAAAAAAGTTGACTGCTCTCTGAATTTTGATTGAAATTGACTAGTACATCGTTTGCGTAGGAATCGAGAACTGACCGGAATAAATTAACTACTGTTGATTCAGATGTAAGCTGCGGATGAGTCTGCCCTGATAACCACAGTTTCAGACCAACCAAGTTGGTGTCAGATAGTTGCCACCAACTTACCGACAACTTGCGGTCAACTTTCGAATTTGAAACTGTTGGCGTCAAGTTGGCTACAAGTTTCTGAGAAAAACAAGACCAATCTACTGCCGCAATATGTCGCCAAATTTCTCGAGAAACTTGTCGTCAACTTGGTGCGAAAGAGTTTCGAAAACAATTTTTGCCGACAACTTGGTGAACAACCGAGTTCATTTCCAAGACTTGCCGCCAACTTGGTGACAAGTTGCGGCAGCAAATCGACGGAAAGTTGCGACCGGTTTGGCTATCAGGGTGTCTTGCTTTTGAAACTCACATCATTAAATATTGTTTTGTCTGAAGATACATATCGATAGTCAGTAACTCATCGTACGTGGTAAATTACCCAAGCTCGTAAAGTTATCGACTGTTATCGATCTTAATTTTTAAATTAGACCACAAAACATTTCGTATATTAGATATAAAACTTATTTTTTTTTAAATGAACAAAATTTCTGAATTAAGGGAAATTTATGTTAAGTAAAAAAAAATTTCTGAGATAATAATCATTTGATTTATACTAAAGGGGGATATTCCATAGTGACTGAGGGCATTTGACTCTGGAATTCCATCAATTATAAGCTATAATTATGTGACTGAAATTTATTCTATTGTAAAATGTATCTTATAATATAGAAGAATAACTAATTAACAACATCCCTTTATCAAAAACCTCGATTACTTAATAAGTTTCTCGTAATTATCATTTGACTTAGTGTGACTGGTGGGACATCGACTAATCCTTCTTTCTTACCACGGTATACTTTAAGTCGAATTCCAGTTCGACCACTAAACTTTTAAGAAATACTTCACTTTCTTAGGGCTTCAAAACGTCGAGATCTGTTGAAACCTCGATTTTTGCAAAACGGGGTAAAACCAATAACTTCCCGATTTTTCGAAAATCTTCGATTTTCTTAGCGGGAAGTTAAAAATTTTGTTTATTGTGACTGGTAGGACTGGCATTTGTGACTGGTGGGACAAGTACAGCATGTGTACATGAAGTTGTTCATTATGAAGACTTTTATATTATTTCAATCTTAGAAATATTGTTGTTTATATATTTAACTATAAATTATTTAGAATAAATAAAAAAAAATTAATTAAATAACATAAATAAAGAATTTAGCAAACTAACATACATTTTCGTTCAGATTAAACGTAATTATTTTCTTTATTTAATTCTTTTTCTGAAATACAATCATTCACTAGGTGAAGTTGATAAGATAATTAAAAAAACGTGTTATCAAATTAAACAACATTTAATTTGACCCGGATACAAGTTAGTACAACTAAAAAGTTACCAGGAGAAAAAAATCGATTTTATTATTGATCAAATAAAATTTTCTTTACAAATTAATAAAATATAGACTTTTAATAATAAATTAGGACTGAATTAGATTTAATTAGAGAAAATTTAAAATTTTAGTCATTTTCCTATTTCGCATGGAATGCCCCTAAATTATTTATTTAATTCATAATTAGGTAATTATTTGGATGTGGAACTGACATTCTTTAACTAATAATATTCATATTAAAAAATTGAGTTGTAAATAAGTTTTCTTTTAATTTCGTTCTTATTCACGGCAGATTCATGAATATTTTATTAAAAATTTCATAATTTTATTTTGGAAATAATTCTGAAAACTGGGGAAGTTATTGAATTTCGCTCTAATTTTTGAAAACCAATCAATTCTTTTTCAAGATATCGTAGTCGAAAAATTCTGATAATAAATCTTTTTTTTTTTTTCAAAAAACTTCCATATTCTTGCACGATTCATATTTTTAACTTTACCTTTTTTTTTGTTCAAGAGTTTTAAAAGCTCAATTATTTACGAATATGTAAATTTTCGAGCGTTTTGAGCATCATATAGAGAAAAATTTCAGGAATGAGCTGCAGGTTCAAACGTTTTATAGATTTTTGTTGAATTTAAATGCTAAAAATAGTAAATTTCTTCAGTATTTTATCAGATACCAGTAAAATTTTTATTAAATTGTTATCTTGTATCTCATAATATAACTTCTTAGTTGCACCTTATATACACTTACAAGAGATTAAAAAAATTATTGCTTCTCACAAATAATTTGAGTAAAATCAAATACTTTATTGAAGTAATAAATATTCAAATATTATTGAAATCCAGTCTACCAAAAATTAATTATTCAACGTTTCAAACAAGAAGCCTATTTTTGAAAAATATTTTTTTCCGTACTAGATCTAATCATAGATAATCAAAATTTCAAATATTCTACACTGATAGAAATAATTTATTTTAGAAA